AGCCTGAATTATGCAAGAACCCAAAACATTGCTGTTGGGGTATGTAAGGGGATGCTAGAGGAGACAGCACAGCTTTAGGAAGGAAAGTTAAGCCCCTCTGCTCTCCAACAAACTGCCCACCAGCTCGAACAACAGAGAAGCCAACTGTAGCGTGAAAGCATGAGTCCTGCATAAGGATTCAAAGCTTTTGGGGAAATACCCTAGGCTTTTGCCATCTCCTCCTGCTGTTTCTGAAAATAAAAACCTAACATTTTGGGGTATAAAGTCGTCAACTTTACATCAACCAGGATCAACATAAACTGCAGCTTTAAGGAGAGTAGGGGAGAAAAAGCGGAGAAGTGTCGATTGCTTGAGGGATGTTCCCTCAATCTCCTGTTGCTCTCCTTGCATTGCTTGAGTTTTCTTCTTCCACCACCATCAGCTAGGGAAACAGAAAGCTCCCCGTGCAAGTTTACTCATGACGGCTCTCACAGAGACCCAAATGTCCCCAGTGCCCTGCCTCCCAGCCTCAGCGGCTGGGGAAGGTGAGCCTTACTGTCTGTGGGAGCTCCAAGCAGGTGCTAGAGAAGCGGCAAGAAAATCCAGGCCACGAAGCCATAATGTCACTCCACAATGAAAAACTGACCATGCTGAGACATCCACCCCACCCACCCCCGTTTGTAACCCTCTCTGCTGGATTTTGTCTGCCATTTAGCAGCAAAACTGACACCAAATGCAAGGTTTGGCACAATTACTGTTGTTTGCAGCTGGAATAGGATCATGGCTGGGCAGCCTGTCACCTTTATACCGGTGACACTTCTGCTGCTCTATAACCTAGGATTTCAGAATGACCCCGTGGGACTTCTTAAATCTCCCAAAAGCGTCACACCTAAGTTCAGGAGGGTATGGTAGGTATGAAGCTGAGACGTTCTGGCAGGGAGTTGTTTCTTTCCATCCCCATTCAGATTGCCTGTAACTGTTGACACCATCCAAGACGAGGTGGTGCTTGCTTACTTGCTAGTACTCGAGCTTCACTTTGGGCTGGCTCCCCTCACACATCCCAGAGAGTTATGCGCTCCCTCGCACTTACTCAAACCCAAGTATGGCTATAAGCTGAGGGAAGTGGGAAAAAGGAGGAGTGCTCCCAAACTCGCACCTCCTTTTCCCAAGGTTGCACAGGACAAAGCTTGTGATCCTGTGGCTAGAAAGTGTGCATTGCAGAGCCTTCAAGCACATGAGAGGAAGGCTGCAAACTGTGCGTGAGATATGAGCTTACAAGCGACTGTGGTTTTTGCTCACGGTCTAAGCCAGCTCTGCTTGCCCAAAGCTCCTGCTGTACCTCAGGGACTGCATGACCAGTTAGGTCCAGTTCTTCCAGGCTAATTTCTCCCCTCCATCTCCCCATGCAGCTGTTGAAGCTAAATTACTCGCTATAGAGGCTGATACAAAGGCAAGGGCTCTGGCTGGCCAAGACTTCAAGCGATATGAATTTAAAGGGAAGAGGAGGAGTGGGAGGAGGAAGGGCTGTGTTCTTACATTACAGCTGCCTCTGTCCCAAGGACCCGAGCCAAGAGGATTGTCAAGATTAGAAACATTATCTGCATTCAAATCCCACTAGCATTATGGAATCAAAAAATACTGTAAGGGGATATATAAATGCTTGATACTGTAATGAGCAGGGAACAACAAGCCAAGCTGCTGGGCCTCTGGCATACTCTCTATTTTGCTCCTTTATGGGGTTCAAATATAGGTGTGGGAATACGTCCTCACCTAAGCACCGGTCAGACTCACTTGCTGCAGTGAAAAGCAGGGAAAGCAAGAGCAGGAGCAATGTCCAGCCCCTGCATAGCTGGCACTTGAAAAGGCCACCATGCAAAGGTCTCCTGCCTCCGGGTGCTGCCACAGTGGAAAGAGCTCCCAAGAGTCTCGTGTTGCATGAAGATTTCCCCGGTGCAGGACCCCAGTGCTCTGCTCATGGGCACAGGCTGTACCGCTCACCTCATTATCTCATTAGTGTGAAAGTCCCAGCGAAGGAGGCAGGCTGCCCGCATAGCTCTCAGCTCCCTCCCCGCAGACGCACGCACACGCTGTACACATGCACTCTCCTATATACACACGCTGTTGCACATCTTCTCTCGGGACAAGCCTCTTCAGAGGAACATCTCCAAACACTCGTACCCATGGTACATACACCTCCTAGAGACAGTCTTGCTAGACACAGCCACACAAGCCCTGCCACACCCACAGGCACACCTCCAGCATTACTGTGACCTTTTTTGCCCCCCGAGCCCTAACAAAGCGCACACTCCCACAGTCTCACACAAAGAGGCTTTCATCCCGTCACCCACATTTGCTGGACACGTTTGCTCTTTCCCAGCAAGGTCCCATGCTCACAGCTACACGGCTGCACCCACACCCCTCCAAAGAGCTACCTTGCGTACGGTGCATGTTCACATACATTCATCCCGATCAACGCCTCCTCTCTCGCAAATGTCCCCGCTCACACCCAACTACTTGTCTGTAGCACGTGTTGCAACCTCACACGATGAAGGAACATTTCTGAGCTTCTTCAAACACCCCCAAGAAACGCTAACCATCTCCTGTGTGCAGGAGTCAAGAACTATTGGGCTTAAACTGCCTTGACTTCGTCTGGCACATGGCTAACATAGCTGTAAGTAAGTAGCTAGATCAAGAATGGACTGGACTGGACATGACTGGACAGTCTTCTTCCCTTGGGCTTTCTCTGTTTTACCTCTGGTCACAGTGCAGCCAGAGCCTCAAGCGTTGACTCTGAGGAACCTCTTGCTGCTCTACACAACTGCCAACAAGCAGGGACTTGCTGACAATGCCCGCTAAAGCTGATGATCCTGCAGGCTCCATCCCTTTGTCCAGTAAAGGCAGATCCCCATAATGGGGAACAGAAAGCAGCTTCTCCCACCACCGCCTGCTTGCAGATGTCTAGGGAGCTCACAAGAGGTGTCCATCTCTCCCTGTGTTACTGGGAGAGATGCTGCTCTCAGGTGCTCTAACGTGGATGGCTGTGGCCTGAGCCAGGAGATGAGATGCCAGATGAGTCAGCCCAGTGCTCCGATGCCTTATCAATGGATGTGCAAATATGGACCAGTGCTCTGCCCCGTTCAGGCAGTATTGCCTGTAAGCACAAGCCCTGAACGTGCAGCCTCACCTTTATTTCAAAGCACTGGCAGAGAGCAAGGAAAGAGCGGTGAGACCATGTGTTTTCTGCATAACACGGAGCACCCCTTTTGCCTCATATGGTGGCATTTCCCCCTAAAGACAACAGGTCAGTAGCCACAGGGGGATTAAGGTTGCAGTGATGCTGTGATGGTTAGTGGAGAATATGTCCTTCTAGAGGGCTTCAGGACAGGCCTGAGGATGTGTATTTGGTGAAAGGGAGAAGACAACCATGTTCTCCATCACTTCCCTTTGCCCAAGCAAGGTCCCTGAGCCCTGATCCCCAGGGTGCCCGCAGTCTCCCCCAGGATTTTGGGGAAGGGCTGGGCACTGCCAGCATGGGGAACTGGCTGGCCCCGCAACACCCTGGGGCGCAGGTTGGGGGGCTGCCCCACCACTTTTGCTCCCCGATGCCTTTAATTGCCACTCTCGCAGCAGTCGGGTGCAGGCGGAAGCTATTTATAGCGGGGAGCCAAGGGGCCGCACGGCTGCAGGGCCAGCGTCGCTGGGTGACATTCAACCTGGCTTTGAGGCTGGGGGGGTGGTGCCAAAATGGGTCCTGGGGGAGGACATTCCTCATAAATCAGCCTGCCATCCCTCTGGCCGCGGCTTTTCTTCTGCCTCCCTCCAGCCTCCCACTGCCGAGCGCAGGCAGCTGTGCCCTAATAGGGACATTCCTGTCCCAGAGGCCCCTGACCCTTCATCCCCATTGTCCCCCCCATCCGGCAGGATTGGGAGGGGGAACAGCAAGAAGACCATCAGCATCAGAGGCGTTCGTGGAGCAGGGAGGGGGAGGCAGGAGGAGGGGGCTCTTACAGCTGGTTGGTGGTCTCAGAGCATCATTACCGCCTTGTAGGGTCTCTGATGTGCTTGTGATGGGGCTCAGTCATCTGGTGACTAAGGGGGCTCGTTTCCCAGGGTCACTGCACCTCTACGGAGCCCATCTGGAATTCACAGGGTCTCACCCGGGGCCACTCCCACTGCAGGGCACTTGCAGGGCGGCTCTCCTTTCCTCACATATCTATTTTCACAAAACAGGCAGGAACTCGATATCTTCAAGAGGCCCCTTCGTCAAAAATGGTGGGAACGGGGGGGCAGTGGTTTCTGAAGCTGCGAGGAGGCAAACACGAGCATGGCTGGGAATAGCTTCCTTTCCTTAGGAAAAAGAGGGGACCAGGAATTGCGGGGTGACTGAAGCCTGGACAGGAGACATGACTTAATGCATTTCATAGGAGAAGGGACCACTTTTGCAAAGCCAGGAGTCCCTCTGCTTTATTTTACTGGGAGCCTGCTTCAGCCATCCCGTCTCACCTACGAAGGAAATGTGATGCTGCAGTGCCCTGCATCCCCTCCAGTTTGCAGCCACGGCTGCCTGGCACCAAGCACTTCCAGAGTTAAAATATCTGTGGTGCCCGCATGTCACACTCCCCCGCAGGAGGCCACCAAGGCACGAGGGAGGAGACAGCTTTTTGCTTTGTTTTGGTGGCACAGGTCTTTCTCCCAGCCATGCCCACTGCTTTGGTGTCCCCGATTGGGCCGGGAGCCCTCTCCCCATGGCCGAGTGTCAAACAGCAGTTAGCAGCACGTGGTATCACCAGCAAACTCGGTGCTGCGACACAGTGGGAAGAAACCCAACCCTTGTGACCTTGGGGCAGCGTTATCTCAGCGGGGAGGCAACATGTGACACATGCCACCCATTGGTGCTGCCTGAAAGCAGAATATGGGTCATTTTTGTCTGTGGTGCCGTGCTGGCAGGGCATGATGCCCTTTAGCTACCCTGTGGTGTTAATGCCACTAATGTTGGGCTCTCTGGTTCCTCCCACAGCTGGCGGCACAGGTCCTGGAGCCCAGGAGCATCGGCTTCGGGATGGTGGATTCCAAGAAGGATGCCAAACTTGCTAAAAAACTAGGTTAGTCCCATACCTGATATCTCTGGAATGGCTTGGAGAGGGTGTTGGAGTGATGCCCAACAACCAGCCCCATAGAGGACAGCCAAATCCTTGCCACCAAGATGGGGAGGGTGATGGTGGCAATTGCACACTGACCACCTGCCCACCCCAACGTGGGCAGGATCAAGTTGGGGGACAAGGATGAGACACCCTTCCAGCTAAAAGCTTCCTTGCTCAGAGTGCCAAAACAAAACCAAACCAAGAGAAAAAGAAAACCAATTCATGCCATAGCAATGACAGGGTGGAAGCTCACAGCTTGCTGAACAGAAACTGTAGATAGGTGTCATGGAGTAACTCCATGCTCTTCCTGCAGAGAGACAGGTCTGACACAGTGGCGCAGAACCAAAACCTACAGGGATATGACATAGGCCCCCAAATGTCACCAGCCCCATGGCAGAGTGACCCCCAGCCACTAATGGGAGAGCCACAGCCTTGCAATGGTTTGGCAGCCAGCTGCCAACCCTTCCTGACTTGCTCCCCAGAGCAGAAGAGGGAACCTCCTGTAAAGATGAAAGGCTGCTGCATTGCCCACCCCTGGAAACAGCTGCCTTCCAGGGGCTGGCAATTCCTTCATATTTTAGCCCACAAAGCAATATGGAAATACTATGGCACATAAATACAACAGCACATAAGTATACCATTAGGCTTAAGGTCAGAGACTGTTTCAGCATACTGGACTGTATAGTGGACTGTAATTTTCTTTCCTAAATTAGAGGCTAAGTGTGCTGATGGAAGCCAAACTAAAGCTGAGAGCTTCTGCCTGCCCAAGAAGGAACAAACTACCAACCACCTTGACCTGTGGTACTCTGCCATCATGCATTGCAGGAGCTTAGTGCTGCTGATTCTGGAGCCTCCACTGAGATACTGTGGCAACCAATCCTCAGTCCAGTGATATCATTCAAATCTGCCAGCCTGCCACCTGTGGCATCTCTACCATAGGTTTCTAACCCTTTTGCCAAGGCTAGCTAAGCCGCAGAGAGTTTGAAGCTCGCTTTGGCTTCCAGCTCACTGTTTTTGTTCACATAGTTCAGCCTTCTCTAGGCAGAGAGCACAGCCCACATCAAAATCCATTTTCCATCTAGTGTCAGGTTGTTCAAATTTGGGATGTCAGTTAGAGCCCAGTGCTATTTACTGCAATATAGATAGCCAAGCTAAAACAAGTTCCTGGTACAGAATCTTTCCAACTGAGGCCAAACTGTGACCTCAATGAAAAAGTTCAACATTTGGGAAGAAGCTACCGCAAGTTCTGGGTGAGGGCTGTCCCTCGTGCCATGACACATCAGTCAGGAGATTGCTCGGGTCGTTTCTAACTGGACCAACTCAGAAAATTGGCAATTGTGTTTTCCCAGGAGGTGTTGCTAGAATAACAAGCAAGATACTCTGTAGTAAAAATGCTTTTAGTGACATGTTGACCACATCATGTTTCCTGTCTCCTTCTTGCAGGCTTGGTTGAAGAGGGAAGTCTCTATGTCTTTAAGGAGGAGCGGTTGATCGAATTTGATGGGGAACTGGCCACGGATGTCTTGGTGGAATTCCTCTTGGATGTAAGCACAGATAAGCTCAGAGCTAGATAAAGCCTCTCAAAGACGACCTTGCAAATACTCATTTTGCTGAAAAGCACTGGTTTATCTTTATTTGAAATGCCATCCCTGTTTGCTACACACTGGTAGAGATGATGTTTGCCAGCTTCCCAAATACTTGTCTGACCATGAGTTCCCGGGAAAGCTGGTACCTTTATATGCCACCAACTGCTTACATCTTAAAGACATTTTTCCCTCTTCACTGTTTATGGAGTATTTGATTGGAAGCAAGCAACAATCCCACATAACTAGCTGCTAGCTCAGTTAGCAAGCTGGCATGCAAACACTGCCATTTGCAAAATCTTTCACTTTTTTTTTTTTTAAAGAAGAGTTATTTTCAAAAAACATGCAAGAAGTAGCATTCCCATAGAAGAGCAACTAAAACCAGTTCAATTCATTGAAAAAGATATATGCTGCAAACTATTTGCCCATTTCTAGACACAACCGCACAAACAACGTAGTGTGCTACTGCCTCTTCAGTGAACTTACCAAATTGCACTGCCATGAGTTAGAGAAGAGCCTAGGACTCAGTGCTCTCAGGTCATTTTGTGCACAGGCACAATATGTACTCACCCTTGTGCCTAAATGCAAAAGAGATGCTGACTCCCTCATCAACGTGTTGCACTTCTCTTTACATTTTATTCCAATAGCCCAGAAACATGGTCTTTGCTTTGTAGTGAAAACATTTTGCAGTGGCTTGGCTTTCCTTTGAAATGAGGCTCCCTTTATGAGCAGCCGTGCAATAATGCAGATAAGGCAGGTAAGGCAAGCAGCGGAGCCAGCAGAGTTTGTTTCCCAGGGTGGCAGGTTTTTTTAGGAATGCCAGCGGCGAAAGGCACGTCTGGGGAAGAGAAACAGCTCCCTAGGACCTCAGCTCTCCTGCGGCAATGCGTCTGTGACTGCATGCATCAGGTATTGTGGCCAAAACACATATAAGTGCCTTCAGGGACAGAAGCGGGCGTCTTGCCCCACCTAGGAGGGCCACAGGCAGGGCAGGGCTTTGCTGTGACCCCAGCAGCGGTGGGATCCCTGGTTCCTGTGGCTCAGGCCACTGCGTCAGCAGGGAGCTGCCCACACTGCTCTGGACACAGCAGAGGCACAGCCGCACGCCAGAGCATCACTCGCAAGGGGTGCAGCGTGAGGCACTTTGTGAGGTTTTGCTTGCTGTACTTTGTGGTATGCCGCTGAAGAACCATGTTCTGTGAACAAAGGAAGAGAGGAAGGATTTCTGTTTGTGTTTTCCACTCGAGAGGGAAAATACCTAGCAAAGCAGGGAAATAAAAGCAAACACATCTGTGGTGCCCCGGCAGCCTGCTCTCAAAGCAAAACAAACCCAGAGGTCCTCTACTCCTCTGTAGGCTGTACAGTGGCCTGTCTGCATTTTTTTTTTCCTAGTGAAGCCACACCTGATTTACACCAGTATTTCTGGGCAAAATAATCATACCAAATCTTTTCACCAGCAGTAACTAGTTAAGAAAACAGAAACAAAGATTAGACTAACAACAGGCTGAAGCAGCAGATAGCTCTTCCAACTTCCTCATCAACACTGTGACGTGTCTGGGGCCAAAGCATGGGTTTAACCCATTCTGCATAAGGAGGATCAGCCAGGAAAATTCATATCCAGACTTTCCACTGCTCCAAAACATTGTTTAGCCACACTCTAGCATGCTGGTTTTAATGTTTTCTGAAAGCAAGTTCCTTGCAGTAACCTCTTCCAGCAAATTACAGTTAAAAACAAATACATCCATCATTCACAGAAGCTCAGTCTCCATGCCAGCCCCTTTCAACTGCTCTCCCTTTTTCTCAGCTGCTCTAAAGCCAGTTGCAACTGCTACCCCTTATCTCGCATCACAGCAGGTCCCTCAGCATCCATTTGGGTTACCCAGACCTCTGTCAGCTTCCCTCTAGATGCTTCAACCTATGCAGTGAACCTACTAACAGCTCCCTCTGAAGGTGACCTGCATCTCTCGGTTCCTCACATTAAGACAGAGAGCACTAAGCAGGGTTTCCAGCAGCAGAGAAATTGGGTGACCTCTTTCTCCCCACTTAGGCTGCTAGTGACATACCCTGCCAGGCATAGGTTGGTGCTGCAAATCGTTGCGTTATCATCAAATGCATTTCTCATGGCAGCTGCTAGAAGACCCCGTGGAGATCCTAAACAGCAAGCTGGAGCTTCAGGCCTTTGACCAAATCGATGAGGAAATCAAACTCATTGGCTACTTCAAAGGAGAAGACTCTGAACGTAAGACGAATATGTTCCTCTTGGGGCTTGGAGCCTGGCTGGGGGGTGGGCATTGGTTCTTCTGCATGAACGTTAGGGCTGTGTGGGTATATGGCAGGCTGTGACAGTGCCAGAGTTGCTGGAGGATGAGGTGGGGTTGCAGGCAAGTTTCTGCTGTTGCTATCCATGAGCCCATTCCTACACCAACAGTGGAGACCCTTCTGCAAGGTGTCTGCTGGCAAGAGAAGGGGGCGATTATCCAGGGTCTCCTGAAGTAAAGTAAGTCTACCTCACCCAAAATCAGCTGAGGTTACAGTTACCTTGGGTGAGCACCTAAAGGGAGCAAAGCTCCCTCTCTGACAAGCAGTGAGCCCAAAAGGTCAAAGAAAGAGGGAGGGATGTCGCACAATAAATACTAACATGGCAAACACACAGCCGCAGTAAGCAGGACGCCTCAGGGCAGCCTGGCAGAGGCACTGACCTGTTTCTCCTCGCTGAACCCCAAGACTGAGAAGAAGCTGATCCCATGCCCTGAGGGATGTGCAACTCAGGGACCATGCCAGGCAAAACCATCAGCTTTCAGAAGTCTTGAGAAACCCTCACCAGAGATTCTCCCCGGCAAGCCCCAGCAGTCTCCTCTGCCAGCCCCAAGCGCTCCCCCTGCTCTCCGGGCAGTGCTGGCAGCGTGCACCCCACACTTGCAAGGCTTGCCTTTAGCAAAAAGACAGGTATTCTTACCTGAACGAGCAACATATCATCAGGTCTGCTGCACCTCATCAGCCCATCCACCTCTCCCTTCAGCTTTCTCACCCGCTCAAAATGGCAGGGCAGCTTGGGAAGGGCTGTGCCCCTAACCTGTTCAGTAATAAGTATTTTGAAGAAAGGTGGGAAGGGCTCCCACCAGGCTGAGAGCATCCTTCCTGACTCCAGCTGAGGACCTGATACCCGTAACTGTAAAAACATACCTCGTTCCTGCCCCCTGCTCCTGCAGCAGGAGAAGCGTGCCTAATTGTGCTTGGTGACTGTTTAGGGAACAGAAGCAATCATTAATGCTGGAGAAACTCCATGTATTTCCCAGGCTGAACTACTGCTTGTGCAAGAGGGCAGCTGCAAACACCCTTATCAACAGGCTGGAGTTATAACCCCTGGACCTGCTTTGTAGGGCTGCTGATTTCAGCCCTAGTTAAGCGTGGCATGCCGGGATCTGTAGTTTCTCTGAGCGCTGTGGGGCTGCACAACATGTGTCCTGTTCGCTCCACGTGAAATGGTCCTTGTTTGTAAACCCTGGAAGGGTGGAAGAAACATAGTGCTGTCATCTGATGTATTTTGCAATAATTTATATTTGTTCTTCCCTAGTGCCTTCTGTGCTGATTGGAGCGTGGCCAGCTGCCTGTGAAATCTTTTCTTCATTCCCCTTTTCTCCCTCCAGATTACAAGGCATTTGAAGAAGCCGCTGAACACTTCCAGCCGTACATCAAGTTCTTTGCCACCTTCGACAAAGGGGTAAGCATCCATGTACCTCACTGTGGGAGATCACAACCTCCACCACCTGTTTTCCAGAAGCTCAGGATGCTCCCAGATTTAATATCTGGCTCCAGCCTCTCATTTTCAGCGTTCCTGTAATTTGTGGTATTGGTGTCCGCATTTGGATTTGGTCCTGTCGCAAGATAAAAGGCCATTGCTGCAGAGTGGGGGCAGGTCCTGGTCCGGGTTTGGAAACCAGCCCCATTAGGTTTGTGGGACCTTGACTCTGCCTTTGCTTTGCCCCAGTGCTTGAGACCAGTAGTGTAGAGAGCATCAGTGTTTTTTTTAACCAAGGAAAGATCCCTTCATATTTTGTTGGCCACCCTTAAAAGGTCATGCTCTGAAAGAGAGCCAGCACCTTGACCTCAGCTCTGCCACTGGGAGAGACTCTGGGCAGGCAAAGAGGTACGTCAGGCTCACTCACCTCTGACCATCTGCACTGCAACAGGTTGCCAAGAAGCTAGGTCTGAAGATGAACGAGGTGGACTTCTATGAACCGTTTATGGATGAGCCTGTTCACATCCCCGATAAGCCTTACACAGAAGAGGAGCTGGTTGAATTTGTGAAGGAGCACAAAAGGTACGTAGCATGCAGGACACTCCTGGCCATGGGAAGCGGGTAAAGGTGTCTGTCATTGCAGGCTTGCCCCTCTAGGGCATCCCTCTCAGTAAAAATTAGGATGACGACCACCTTTTGGCGATTTGCTGACCCACGTTTGGGATTTTGGCTGGTCTTTTCCTACTCCCAGAGGTGCAAGTATCTGTGCCGCAACCAGAGCCCACCACTGTGGGGCTGTGACAACACAGCTTCCCTCCTCCTCCTCTCTGGTTAGCCTTCCCTCAAAGAGCAGGGAGGCTTGCAGGCAGTGGAGAACAGAAACCCTGCCCTACTTGCCCATGCTTTTAATTTAGGTCTGTACAGAAGATTGTCTTCTCCAAGGCCTGTCAAGCCAAAACAAAATTCTGTCCAGTCCCTCCTTCCCCCAAACAGCTTCACTAATGGGTATATCCCTCTCCTGATGTCAGATATGGCTGTAGGCAGGTTCTGAGCTCAGACCAAGCCTGGAGGAACTGTGATGGACTAAGAGGCTCCTGCTGAATGCCAGCGCAGAGAGGAAGCCACTGCTGTTATGGCTGTCTTAGTCCTCATCTGCAAAGGTGCTGAACACCTACAATGTTTGATCAAGTCAGTGGGAGCTGTGGATGGTCCATGCTTTTTTGCAATCAGGTTTATTGCACAGTTGTTTAGGGACTCGGCCACCAACAGTCTGGAAGCAACGGGAAAGGCAGATCCCGTGTAAAAGCACAGGGTTATGTATAAGGGCACAACTACTTATGAAGTGCTGTATTTTTACACCCTTAAAAATACAGCACAGGATACTCACACAGGCTATCTGCTGCTCCTGCAGCTGCATTTCCCAGCAGATATTCAAAGGGCCAGAAAAGAGTTCAAGAAAAGCAGGGCCATTGATACTGTTAGGGGAGCCCAACTCGGGCTGAGCTGGAGGTTTGTGTTCATACACAGAGGGGTCAGAGACAGGAGATCATCTCCAGAGTCTGCCAGTCATCAGACTTGGAAACAGATCTCTGCTTTTTCTGAAATATGAAGGGGTCCTCTATCTCCCATGTACTCGCGGGTCACTTTGCTGACCTCCTGGACTTCCTGACCCCAGTCCTTCCCATCTTTCTTCCCAAGCTCTTTCTGCCAGGCAGCAGTGTCAGAAGGCTGATTAAACACAGTCAGCTAAGTGCTAGCCTAATAAGGCAAGCTCTCCACCAGCACAAAATTGCAGTGGAACCCCCCCAAGTCTTACATATTTCAAGATGCTATGTTGTGCTTGGTAGGAGCAAGGGGTTGGGCCATATATTTTGCAAGTGCCAAGGCTCAGAAGGGAATTAAAAGGAATCTCATGAAATCGGATGCCTGAAATCCCAAACCTGCCAAGGAGCTACCATGGCGGGGGAAAAACCCTGGGGTGACAGTGGTATGTACCCAGCAGTTAATACTGACTCTCTCGGAGCAGAAGTGCTTCTTCCTGCCTTGCCACCAGTAAAGGACCTAAGCCAAAGGCTGGAAGTGGAATTAGTCAGACACAGAGATGATCAGGCCTGTAGAGAAAAACAAAGCGACCTCAGCAGCTGCCACGTGCTGGTTCCCTGTAGACCACTCGGCAGGATCTTCTGCTCTGCAGGAAGGTGTAGAGGACCACCTGCCTCCTCCCCTTCACACAGCAGACTTTCTCGTTTCACCCCGGCCGGCAAACACGGGCTATCCCTCCGCTGATGTGCAAAGCCCCGCTGCCACCTCTCCACCCTGCAGAAGGAGCCCCGTCACATCACTGGGGAAAGCTCCCAGTGCTCAGCAGTACCCAGGCTCTTTGGCATGCTTTAAACAGCCCTTCCAAAAAGGGCTCCCCACTGCCATGCCCAGGCGGGCTTCACCTCCTCTTCCTCTAGCCCTGCGTGGAAACTGGGATTTGCTGAGCTCTCACTGCAGCCTCAAGACAGGAGCTGAACCAGGTGTCGAGGAGGAGCCCGTACGCAGCCTCCCGGCTGATGCTTCCCTGGGCAGCTGCAGGCAGCGGTGGGAAAGTTCATCCTCTCCCGAGCAGGTCAGGAAGCCGGTGTTCAGCGCAGTGGGGTGACTCGTCCAAGGTCAATAGGTGTCCGGCTGGGGATGGTGGCCGGGCGCCGTGACTCCGAGGTCTCAGCCCAGATTTTGCTCTCAGTTGCACAAATACAAATTACGTGGCAGTTCCTCTGCCTGCAGCAAGAGGCCTCTGGGTTTATGCCTGTTTCACATGCAAAATGCTGGGGGTGGACACCCCCACCCTGTTCTCTGTAACTGTGGTGTAGCATCGTGGGGGCTGAATTCTGCTCCCTCTTATTCACCTAAACCCCACTTACCTCTCTCCCTCCACCATTGGGGAGTAACCAAAGTAAATCTTGAGTAACTCCGCAAACAATCGGTACACATGGGTGTGATCAAATCCTTCCCACTGAGTTTCCTTTCTCCAAAAGCTGCCCGCAGAGAATGGCTAGGGAAAGCATCTTGAAAGCCAGGTACGAGTACATAATGTGCATTCACCTGATATAATCTCCAGTTTCTGACAATCAGCAATAGGGAGACTTGCTGGGTCAAAAATTGTATACCTGATCTTGTGCTTAGTGGCTATTTCTTCAATTTCTGTAGTCATTTTTCACCTCGTTTCTATTTTGATGCTGAAAGTATCCAATTGTAATGAGTTCAGTGGCTGAATTACGCATTGCATCACAAGAGCATTCCCATTTGTTCAGCTTATACCTGCTACCTAATAATTTCACTGTGTGCCTACTAGCTCTTGTGTTATGAGGAACAATGACTAGCCATTCCCTGTTTCACTTTTTTTTTTTACCATTCCCAATGTTTTAGATCCCCTGCCAATATCCTCTTTTACAAGATAAAGAGTTCTCATCTATTTAATCTCCCCCAAACAGAGGTCATTCCATACCTTCTTTCACTGCTGCCATGTTTCCATGTCCCTTTTTCAGTTGTCCCATACCGTTTCTGTGATGGGATGACCAGAACCACAAATACGTTCACTGTGGAGGTGCGTAGTGTAGTTGTCCATTGCTGTAACGGTATGATGTGTTTTCCCACTTGTTTGTAACCTTCTTTTTGCCTTTTGCCTTTGGAGCTGATGCCTTCTCAGTTTGTGACTCCTGGGCTCCTTTCCTGAGAGGCAATAATTAATTATAACTAATTTAGAACCCATTGTTGTATCTGTATAATCAGGGTTGTTTTTCTGCAAGTGCGTTACTTCCTAAGTCTATCATGCAGACACTCAAATCCCAGGAGATCCCGCTGTATCTCCTCACAGTCAGGGCTGTGTTGGTTTGTCTGAAGAATTGCATATGATAAGGAAACGCTACCATATTCCTATTTCCCATCTTTTTCAGATTACGTGAGAATACGTTATGCATATGATCATGCTAAAGCATATGCTATGAATCTTAATTGGTTAATTCCTTCTGTCGTGAAAACCGACATTCATCTCCACCCTTCATCTTCCAATGTCATTAATCCACAGAAGGATCTCTCCTCTAATCTAACTGCAGCTTAGTTTCTCTGAGACCCTTTAGCAAGGGACCTTGTCCAATGGTCCTCTGAAGACAGTTTACTGCATTGACCAACATACCTTTGCCCGCTCGTTGACTTGCTCTGGGAACTCCAGCAGATCCATGGCCATAATTTTCCTCTTAAAGGCCATGCGTCTCTTGTCCTATCACATCATATTCCTTCAAATGTCTGTTAACCCTATTTTTTCTGGTAGCATCGTGCCTATAAGGAAGTCACCCTTCCAGATCTGTGGCTCCTCAAGTCCTTTAGGAACCTCTAAAAAACGCTCCTTGTTTCCACTGCTCTGGTAGCGAGGCAAACCAAAGCGACAGGTTACACATCTCATTGATGCCACCTGGTCCTGGCAACGTGCTGCTACTCCCTTTGCCAATTTGTTCTAGGGCCTCATCGACTGACATTTCTCTTTGCAGCAGCTCCTGGGGCTGGTCTGCCAGGGAGACCCGCTCTGCTGGGGGAACCTCCCTGAACACCTGATGCCAGAGTGAGCAGAGGTGCAAAAGATTACTTGTGCTTGTCTGCCATGGCCTTGTGCCCCTTTAACACCCCAGTCACCTCTCAGCCCGCCAGGCTCTCTGACAGGCTTCCTGCTACAGCTGTGTCTGAAAACATTTACCATTCTTTTTTTTTTTTTGTCCTTTATGAGCTACATCTCAAAAAAACTTGTTTTGGCCAGTCTTATGGTTTAAATCTTCTTGCCAGCGGTTATTATGATCCAAATTTTCTTGCCAGTGATTATTCTGTCTTCTTTGCTTCAGCAGAGTTTGGAAGGATTTTTATGGTGGAATTATGCTGGGGCAAAACCGGGAGAAAAGGGGAACAAAGCCCAGTAGGAATGTCCCAGGGACTGCAATACACAAGTGAATGGGTCACCTCGTCCTCTCAGCAGGGACAGAACAATCTGCCATGTGTAGGACTAATTCACCAGCGTACCCCAGCACAGAGAGGCATCTCATCTTCCCAAGCTCAAATAGTGTCTGCAGTGACTCTAGGGGGGGCAAGGGCAGGGTTTTATCACCATAAATAAAAGCGTAAGTTGACCTACTGTGCCCCCGTGCTTGCATTCAAAATGTGGTGGCTGACGGCGCTGACTCCAGCCACCAACCAAATATGCCATGGTGACCTTTTCCGTGACGCCGGCAGCGTCATGTGTCATGGTGCTGTACGCGTCCTCAGAGAGCGTTTCTGTCTTCCTTTCAGGGCCACCTTGAGGAAACTGCGCCCAGAGGACATGTTTGAGACGTGGGTAAGCACACGTAGTGGGAAGCCTTGCCTCCCCTGCTAGCTTCCAACAAGAAACCACTGCTCAAAAGCTCTAGCCTCTTGTCTTCCCTTCCTTGCAAAGCCACTTTCCCTCCTCTGGGAAGAAGGGAAAGCCTTGGCTATGATGCCCAATGCCTGTATTCAAACTGTGTGCTCAAATGCTTTGCTGAACAGTGGTGGACAGCTGAGCTGGGTCCTGTTTCCACCACAGAGAGAACAGGGAATGCTAACCAAGTGTGCCAGGCGGGGGTTGAGCCTCTGTAGCAGCCATGATATAGCTATGGAGAGCATCCTTCCCAAGGATGCTCTATCTTATCTAAAGGGCATCAGTGCTGGTGGTGGGGTGACTTCAGTGGCCTGCTCGCTGGGCAAGCTACAGAGGTTGTACCGAACAGATGACTCATGGAAATTGTACCAGAGCAGTCGTACAATTCAAAATGCAAGCGAGGGCAGGCAGTTCAGTTAATTATATAGATTACGGAGCAAATCGTGCATTGATTGCACTTCTTATGGTGTGAGCAAGCTGCAAGTCAGCGATTGTGAAGAACTAACCAGTGGTTTGGCACCGATCACATGCAGAGGATTCTCCTGGTCTGCAGGTGTGGGGGAAAAGGGGAAGGGTGAAAATGAAAGAAAAATCATGTATAACAAATTATCCCTTCACTGTGAATGAGTACGATGTTAATAACCAGTCAGGGACCTTCAAGTGCCAGATGAACGCTGAAAAACAAAGCTGAACAGGTGCTTTACAGACGCTAAGGAAGATGCAGTCATTCCTCAGCAGACTGTGCAGAAAGCTCAGCACATTTATAACAGCATTCAGTTACCTCCTTGTTTGGCTGTGTAATGTGAAACGCTGCAGGACTCTGAAGCACCAAAGTCTTTAATACAACAAGGCAAGAGGTAATAAAACTGAATCAGGAGTTACGAGTCACTTACACATGATAGCTTTTCATATTATTTTGAAATACAGGTACTGTATGGAAGATAGCTTCCTAAACCCATTGAAGTCCCTCAAAGTTTGTTCATGGGGCTTCAGTGGGACCCAAATTTCACATGCAGTGGTTTTGCTTTTATACTGAATATATTCTAAAATAGCCCCAGGAAAAGTGTGAATTGTCAGCGATGGGATGTTCGCTTTACCAGCAGCCTGGGAACGCAGAGCTTGCCTCTGCTACGAGCAGGGGACTCGTATCTACAGGTGACAACAGGCTGGATTCTGATCTCACTGCAAGTTCAGAACACCCCCAATGCCTTCATTGGAGCTACTCCAGTTTTGTTTGCTGCCTTGGAGGTCAGAATATAGCTATATTATATAGCTATATATATAGCTTTTTTTTTTTTTTTTTAACTTGCTGTCTGACAATGCTGTGGGCAAATACGGAGAAAAAGCACTGGTGTAGATTTTGCCAGCTGTAAGTGGTCTGAATCCCAAGTAAATCTGCCTAGAATGCCCCAGTGAAAACGTATTCCCTGAAGATGCCAGCAAAGGCCCAGCATCTGCTATTGTTTTTAAAGATAATGTTTTCCACTTAATCTTTCAGGGTTTTTTTTTCCTTTCAGTTTTTGATGGTGGCTTTGTCACCTCTGGGCTCAGAAGGGAAAAGAAATTAGCATTTAGATGGGAATTTTTTCTTGCATTAAAACCAATTGAAATGGAAACAGGGACTGGCAGTGGGTGAGGAAGGTGAAGCCGATCCGTGGGATAATTCAGAGATGACATTCATAGCAGGCGGATGATGAACTGGCCGGCAGATCCATTGGCCTTTCCCAACATCATTACCCATTACTCACGTGTCTCATGGAGAAAAGCAGTCCACCAGGCTGTCATTTCTGTCCTCCACTCAGTGGAGCCCCGAAATGAGCCTCCTACTCAATACCCCTTGCTGCTCACCGAGACCCTCACCTAGAGCAGAAACCCTTCACCTCCTGAAAGTGTCCAAGTGAGCCACCTCGCCTCTCATGTTGTAAAGAAACCTCCTTTGCTGGCCCCATAAGGAGCATGTTTGGGGTCTGAGCACGGTGGCAGATATTTGTTTCCCCACAAACCATCCCCTGGCAGCTGCAAATTTATGAGGGTAGGTGGCCTCGAGCATGGAGGGTATTCCCATGATAGACAGCCCTTGGCCTTCTCTGCAGGCAAGGTTTTGCCCCACACGATCAGAAGCTCCCTTGCCTTTGCCATGATGGTGCCCACCTCATTTTTAGCTGAAGGGTTTCAGCAATGCTACCCAAACTACCTGCTTCAGCGCCTAATACCTCCACAACTCGCCCTCACCTCAGCTCTCATTTCTGGTGTCTCGGTGGGACTCCAGTCAAGCCTCCCTTTGCAATCGTCCTGTTCGTTTGAAGGGATCACACCGCTCCTCGTCTCCAGCAACTGCCCGGACACTGTCCTCCCTCCCTGGCCCATCAGTAATAGTTTTGTTTTTTCCAGGAGGACGACATGGAGGGAATCCATATTGTGGCCTTCGCCGAAGAAGATGACCCAGGTAGGAAGCCGTTTACCTCCTTGCATGACTCTCCGTCACTCAAGACGATGTAGTTTCACGTGCTTTGTTTGCATTGTGGAGCCCCGCGCCCTGGCCGGGACGGGGAGCCCCAGCCTGCCGGGATGGAGAGCCGGGATGCTTCTGGGTGTAAATGCTAGCGTGTGTGCTAGCCAGGATTCAAATTCTGGATATAAACAGATGGCCGGCTGGGAAAAAAAAGTCATCCCCTCCACCCCAGCGCCAGGATTTGCTCCCTACCTCTGCGTCCACCTTGCTGCGTGGCTCCAGGAAAGTACTGAGGGCCGGGCGCGTGATGCGCATGCGGGAAACCCGTGGGCATCAGCTCCTGAAAAGCCGTGGCGTCGGTGTTTCTCAGCACCCTCAGCGTGCCAAAAAGCTTCGGCCTCTCGGGATCTCGGTTCCTCCCTCGCCACAAGAAAATAGTGACATTGTTCCACTCCACGGAAGGATTATGAGACTTAATTCATGTGTAACTAATTTCAATACCCGGGGAGGCTGCTCAAAATTAAAAGCCTTATTATCAGCAGAAAGAGCTGGGAGACAGCATTTTAATGAGAACTATAAACAACTCCTGTGTGCAAAGGGGGGTGAGGGAAGTTGAAAACCCCGCAAGCGAAAAGTGCCTGCATGTTTGCAGGAGAGGGCTGCAGCGGTTCGTGTATCATTTCAGATGGTTTTGAGTTCCTGGAAATCCTGAAGCAGGTTGCCAGGGACAACACTGATAATCCCGACCTGAGCATTGTCTGGATTGACCCCGACGACTTTCCTCTGGTGAGTGGCAGGGGCTCCTTGCCTCTCTTGGTTTAATTCATGGATGGGAGGTGTGGGGTGCATGTATGCGAGTGCAGGAGTTGCCCCAGCGCATGCACAGGATATAAAGGATGGGAAATGGGAACACCGGTGATCCCTGAGAGCTGCTCGTTCGGGTCTGCCTCCCACAAAGGTGGTGTCTTGGGAATATCCCCAGAGCCAGCACTTTCCTTTGCCGTGTGCGGTGGCCCAAGCTTGCGTTCAGCCTCTCTCCTTTCCCGTGCACTCATCGATGCACGCTCCCTGCACCACAGCCCGGCCGGCTGAATTAATGCAATGGGGTATTGCAAATGCCCTTGTCTGAGCTTTGTTTCTCTCTCCTGCAGCTGATCACTTATTGGGAGAAGACCTTCAAGATTGACCTGTTCAGACCACAGATAGGGGTGGTGAACGTCACAGACGTGAGTAGCATGTGCCCAGAAAATCCAGCGATCCCAAGATTACGGTGCTAGAAAGGACGGGATCTGAGGTCCACTGGAATCAGTGGGATTTCTGCTGTTAGGTGGAAGTAGACCAGGCTTTTTCTCCAGGAAAAAGTGTAAAGACCTCACCATTCCCATGCACAGCTGGGTTCATAACACCTCTGATGTCAGGCTTCAGGGCTTTGGTCTGAGCGTGTTTCTGCTACCGAGTCACACACAAACCATGTCTGCTGAGGACAAGAGCAGTCCCTGTGGTCTGAGCTTCAGGGCTTTGCCTGGTTTTGTTTTCCAGGTCTCACATTTCCACCCCAACCCACAGCATGCACTGCTCTGACTGAACCTGGGTGGGCTTGTGGGGGAAAAGCGTGTGTGTAGGGGTGAAAGCAAGCCGTGCTTGGGAGAGGAGAAGAGGAGAAAAAGGAGGGTGTTTTTGCAGCAGAAGCAGAATGGCCCAGCTTGAGTGTAGGAGGGAAAGATGGTCCCCAACAGATGACAGGGAGAAACTGCACAGCTTGAAAAAAAACAAATAAATACACAGCCTTAATAAGATTACGACATAAACTGGTAACAGAGGGATCCTGCTGGGGCGAAGAGGGTACACTGGGGTTCATCGAGGCTCTCCTCCTCGTCAGCCACTGCCATGCAGGTGGTGCTGGAGAGATTTGGGTGGGAAAAGGAGAAGTGTCCGCCCCACGCCCAGTGGCAGTGAAGGGTTTCCACACCATCCTGCAGCCGGCAGTGCTCAGAGGGAGAGCTGCACAGGCAGGTGCTGCTTGGTACCCACAGCATCCACAGCTGTGCATTCGGACCAGCTTTCTAGCAGCTACTGTTTTCATCATGGTTGCCTTCAAGCCAGCAAGCCATGGGACTGATGTCAGGTTGTTCGCACACGGTGAACTTTTAAGGCAGGTGGGAGAGGGACCCATCCAACCCCCACTGGCAGAGATGTGGGGAGAGCTGCTGAGTGCAATGTAATGTGCATCACAGTCCTGACATGACTACGGAGAGAAACCATTTTTCCTCTTTCTGACAATAACTGTCCAGACAATGAGAGAGCACGTAACGCGGCGTGCTCCAGCCTGGCTCGCTTATTACCTTAGTTTATTTTTGATGGTTAAGTGCTAGGTGTTTTAATCTCTTTAAAATGAACCTGTGTGGGTATGTAAGTGTCTCTGGAAGCAGAAATCTCTCCACTGCAGAAGTATTTGTAATTTGGTGCTTGACTTCGTGTTTGAAATTTCAGCTGTATGGGAACCTGATGTTTCATTAGAAGAGAGCAGAGAGGGACTTAGAGTTGGGACAACTGCCCGGGGCTGGGCGCTGGCCCTGGGTCCACCACCAACCTTGCTCCCGGCCCCCATGTCCTCTCTCCTGTACCTCCCCAGAAAAAGAGGAACAGCGAGGGAGTACTAGACGATTGTCCCTCCTGTTATAACAAATGCTGCAAGACCATAAGATGGGAGACGGCAAAGTGATGGTGTTATGAAGAAAGTGGAGGCCCTGGATCTTGCTCGTTCCATTGAGGGGAATGAGAGGGAAGCACACAGGCTGGCTTGGGAGTGACGGAGTAGATGCGGCACTGGCTGGACGCGAGCGGTACTTTACCTGTAATAGAGCAGCATCCGCCAGACCTAGTGAGTGGGGACCCAGTGGGTTAAGGCTTGTTAGCAGAATTGTTAAGGGGGAGACAAAAGAGAAGAGGGACAAGATAGCATCTGTCACCTAAAATCATGAGAGAAATGGACAAGCCAGAAATACAGCCCAAGTGTTCCAGTCTTTTGCCCTTATTACTAGCCTGCAGTATCTCTCTTCATTACATTTACTGCAGCTGGATGTGTTTAAGTCATATCAAAGCTACGTTAAACAGCTATCAATGAAAATTCACGGAAGTAGGATTGTCATTGGCAAAAGAATCATATAGAAAGCAGTATCAGGCAGGAACATATGCCTTATTAACTAACAGTCACTCAGAGACCTGTAAAAACTCATGCATTACCTAGCTTTGGTAAAGTAAATGTTTGAGGCTGTTGATTATAGTATTTGCAATTTTTATTTCATTACTCTTAAGTCTGTTTTCTATTCCTCAAGAGAGAGATTTAAGAAAGTTCTAGGTTGGTGGGTGATATCTAAAACAAACACTGAGCTCATTTTGTTATTTCAGTGTTACATCACTCCATTCAGCCAAGTTACACAGGTACGAAGTGGGGCTTACACAACGGAGTGAAAATAAACACTGCTGTTGGCTTTGGTGGACATAACCCCTGTGACCCCATCGCTTCTCTAAAAACCTGCCAATACAAACACCAGAGCTCCCAGTGGCCCCCACTGGCCCGTCACGTTGTAGTGGCTCAGGACTAGGGCCATGACACGCTACAGAATATTGCTGCTTTATTTGCACAGCATCTTTTCTAGGTGCAATGGGCCCACTCCTGTTCCCCTGATTTAAAGGTGTCACTTTAGCTGACAGTCCTGAGGTGGGGGACAAGATCATCTCATGAAGCAAGAGCTGCATGCCTCTCCGTGGCTCTTTTTTATTACAGTTTTGGTGTTTTAGGAAGAAAATGTTGTAAGGGCGAAACAGCTTTCCCTGAGCAGCAATTTTTATCAAGCCATACAACAAAGAGAATTAGGTGCCACAGACAGGAAAAAAAGTGGGGCGAATTTGCAAAAGCCGATAGTTATCTTCCAACATATGAAAAGCACTTGCTTCTGCAACATCAAACGCTGAATGAGATTACCTCACAGCACCTCTGCGAAACAGGAGGCTGATCCTATTTGATGGAGGGGACACAGTGAAGGGAAAGGGGCTTACCCAGGCATTTACCCAAGGAAGCAAAGCAGGGAGAAAACCTTTCATTTCCAGGTCTCAGAGACTGTCTAAACTATGCTTCCTGTCCTGGCTAATAGCTGCAGTTTAGCCAGCATCTTCTTACTGCATTTTAGACAGCATCTTCTTACTGAATCCCCCCATCCCCTCCAGTTTATGGAAGTAATGCAGACAGCTGGAGAGAAAGAGCAGGGGGCACCTCTAGTCCAGGGCACTGGTGTTTTTCACCATTCTGCAGCTGGAGCATGGTTGAGATGATCTGAGGAAAGGCTCTTCCAAGAGGAGAAACCACTATCACATGTGGAGAGCCCAGAGCAACATCCTGAAGCAAAGGTGATGGTAAAAGAGGCTGGGGAGAAGGGGTGCTGAGAGCAGAGTGTAAAGGCTCAAAGGAAGAGGTCCCAGAAGGGCTCTGGAAGGAAGGAGGGAAATGCTGTGATGTCCTGTGAACGGGGGCAATGCAGGGGGAGCTGGCATAGGTCTCTTTATGCTCTCTTTATGGAGACTTGGAGTCTATAGAACTGGCCAGACGGGGTGAGGACAATGCATCAGGTGGACGATGCTCTTGCTCACAGGTGTAGGCACTGCAGGAGAGGAAGGGGCAGCGGGCACACATCTAACCCAGGGCAAACAGTACCACACACTCATGTAAACCCATTGACCAGTCCCACCACCCCTAGTCAGAGGCAAGAGGGCTTCAGGGGGAAGTGGTAATCCCAACATGTGGGCAGAGAGACGCTGTGGCTGAGCCTGCCTACAGGCTGTGGCAGAGATCCCCCGCCCCTGCATCCCCCCCCGTGCTCCAACCCTTACCCCCACAATAGAACCTGACCTCTTCCTTGTGTCTCTGAGGGTGACTAATCCCCCATCACCTGTCCCCGCAGGCTGACAGCATCTGGATGGAGATCAGAGATGACGATGACCTGCCTACGGCCGAGGAGCTGGAGGACTGGATAGAGGACGTGCTGTCTGGGAAGATAAATACCGAAGATGATGACGACGATGATGATGATGACGATGATGACGACGATGACGATGACGACGATGATGATGACGATGACGACGATGACGACGATGACGACGACTAACTATGACTTTGTGCAGAGGCCTCCCCCCGCGGCAGGTCCCTCCATTGGAAGACCTGTGTTTGAGCGTCAGCAAGCACCACTGCTCCTCTTTCCCCCCTGCCCCGCTCCCCCTGCCCCTGCTCTCGCTGGGACCCCCTGGCCTGATTCTCAGTGGTGCTGAGCCACCAGGACTGCCCCTGCGGCGGGCAGTGCCTGCAGGCACCCAGCACCGCTGTAAATCATGCCTCCTTAGTAAGGGCAACAGGAATCTGCAAGGAATCTGCCCCCAGTGCCCCAGGGCGGGAGGAAAGTGCCTTCCTGCTCGCTGCCAGAGGGACACAGGGAGCCAATTTATATTTTCCATGCTCATCAGCCCAGCACTTAACATCTAAAGACCAAATCTCAAGACATAGGGAAGGCCATTGTAAAGTTTGCAGCTATTCTGCCAAGACCACTCAGTCCTGCAAGTTCTGCTGCGGGAGTCTGTAGCTACTCATTAACATGTTAGGAGCAGCAAAAAGCTTTGAGAGGGGAGGAAGATTTTAGGGATACTATTTAAGTTTTCGGTGATTCCATATAACGACAGGATATTCTTGTCTGGCAGTGCAATGCAAAACCAAACACCACAATCCCTGTCTGAACCTCTTTCTTCTTGAAAGCTCAGGCCAAAGATAGGGTAAGTGCAGGTGGTCTGATATGGGACATCAAAGCTTGCGAGTTCCTGAACTGCTGGAAAGGCTGATCCAGGTCTGAGCCCAAACTCTTGAGGCTGAAGATCATGGCACTGAGCCAAACCATTGGTCTTAACCCCAAAGAAACACCAGAGCAGATCCCGGGCCAGTTCCAAACATCTGCAGCCAGGTCTGGGCTGGGCCTACCTTGCCTTTCAGGTGAACCTCAGCAGGACTGAAGGTGGTACACATGAGATAGATAGCATACTCCTGCTAGTGGAAACATTCATAGGGGCCCACCCTGAAGCCCTCCTATTCCCCATGACCTTCCAGCTTTAGCTGACTTTTAATCCAAAGCCTACATAGCATCTTTTCCCATGACCAAGATGTTGGGAGGGAACTCATCCATCCAACCATATTAGATGCTGGATAATGAGAGCTGGGCAATGAGCAATGAAAGGATTCAAGCTGTTTGGCTTTTAAGCATTCAGTTGCACAGTTACTCCCTGCTTAGAGACTCGGACGTCCCATGGTAGCCCGCGAGAAGCCTCTTTTGACTGCAGACTGAGAAGGAGCTGAGGGCACCAGTTCTCAGTCGAGGGGGTCAATCACAAAGCCAAGGGTCAGCAACTCAGTCCTGGTGAGTGCAGCACCATCCATGTGCAGGTCACTGCGACAGTGTTATGTCTCCCTGCTTTCCCATGCCGGCAGATTTCAATTGTCTTAGCTTATTAGGTTTGACAGTAGTGCAATGAGTTTGGAGATAGTTTTATCTTCATAAATATATTTATAAATATGTTCTCCAGTCGTTCAGACTTGTTAGCATAGGTAGGGTACACACGTCCTCTCTTGCTACAGATGAAAAACATTGTTCTGACCTTTCTTATACTGGCTTATGTCAGAGGTAAGTGATGTTAGGGGAAATAACAGTGCGAGGGACATGAGAATCGGAGCTCGTTATATGAATGCGAATCAGCCTGATGAGAAACAAGGTTTACACACTATATATTTCCTTTATCAGATGAACTGCAAAGCAAGATTTTATAGATTTTCTTTCCTGCCTGTTGATCAGTCTCTTTGACTCTCTCTCTCTCTTTACATTAGCTGAAATAGAAATTTGAAACTACTGGTATAAAAAAGCTGAAGTACTGATATATTCCTACGTGTGCTACATCCCCTTGGTGGAAAGTGCCAGCATGAAAAATACGCAGCTGGATATCTCTATATCTTTATGTATATGAATGAATATTGTGCTTATATGGTATATGACCGTAGGCCACGTTAGCTCCTCATTGAACATCAAACACTCTACCCGTGCTTTTCAGGCACAGCTTATTAGAAGAATAGACAGGACAGCAAAGCCCCTAGGTCAACTATTATCTTTTATAGACTTGCCCTTTCTTGCTTCTTTATGATGGATAAGCACTGCCTGGAAGACTTGAACCAAGTGAGTTTGAGGAGACCATCCGCCTGGTCACACTGGGGTTATGAACAACTCAGCCCCATGCCAGAGGACCTGGTCGGAGACTTTCAGAAGGTTGGAAATGCAGAGTGCTCTCAGCCTGGAGGTCCCCTCCTCTCCTTCACACACCCCTCTCTCCTGGCCGGAGGGGTGCCCAGCACCCTCCTTCTGCTCTTTTCTTTCAGCTTTTTCCTCAAGAGGTTTGCTCGAGGACCCTGGCTCAGAGAAAGAGGGAGCGAGCGGGACTCAAGGTCTCACTGATGCACATCGAGCAAGAACAGTCAAAACTGGCAGTTTAGCAGTCTCCTAGTCTGTGATTAAGGGACAAATGCTGCATATGTTACTCACCTCGGCAAACCACTTGTTTATCTTTACCTTGGGGCTATTCCCAGGAGTAAAACATGCACAGTTTCACCCTGCATAAGGTAGTAGCTCCAGATCAGTCACCGCAAAGTGCCATGAATTTCTATAAACATGAAGAATAAATGAAAAGTTGCTCTACTGCCTTTCCCAACTGGCACTGTCTCCGGACGTCCCGATTGCCTGGGTACTCTCCATGTACCTCCCCTCCCGCTGTGGACGCCTGTCTATTCTGATGTGCCCCTCTCCAAATGCCCCGAGAGGCACAGCTTACACAGGCAGAGCAGGCAGACCCTGCAAACGGCACTACGGACGCGTTCAAGTGCAGAGGTGTTTCACAGGCACATACACATTTCAATGCATCAAGCAACAGAGCTCTGGGAGAAAAAAACCATTAATGTAGTGGTGCTTAGGCTTATACAAAGGCCAGTGAGGCTGAGCTCAAACTGGCTGGTGTCAGTAGTTTATGGAAAGTTTCCCTTGAGTTATGAGAGAGAGGGCTAATCCTGTGGCTGCCACTCCTTCATGGTGACAGCACAGGCCTTGGGGCCACCCTTTTCCTCCTCTCTCATCCCCCCATTATGGTTTTCATGGCTCTCTTTGCCCATGCACAGTAACTTTTTATCTTCAGCTTATGAGATAAACACATAAAAAGTTAAGAAAACGTTGCAGCAGAGGAAGGATTGCAGAAGCGCAGGCAGCAAAGCCTCTCCCATTCACCCATAACACCTCGTCTGCCCTGAGTTCATAAAGACCAAACCACTGAATGAGGTAATACCCCTTGTCAAGAAGATGGCAGCTTGAATTTGAGTGTCTTCCTTGCAGGGACAGGTATCACACACAAGACCCCATGCACAGGCGCTCCTGGGCTCCTCTGTCAGAAGTAGGCACAATTGGTACGTGAAAGGCACAGGCGACCCTGAGGAGAAAAGTCAGCCTAACCCTGCCCACTACGCACTCAAAAGCAAAAGGTCAGTATGTTTGGATGACGAACCAGCAAAAAACCTTCTTTATTTAAAAAAAAAAAAAGCATGCACGTGGGCAGCACTGAGTGTTTCTGCAGGCAAGTCAGCTAAGACTGTCCCTTTCTTAGCAAATAGTTCTTTTTCTCCAAAGTGTTAAGTAGACATTCCTATTAAATGGGTCTTAATACACATAAAGACAGACAAGGAATCGTACTTTGCCGTCATCCAACTGCGAGTGCTTCAAGCTGATCAGTGACTTCAAAGTACCCAAAACCCCCTAGCCTTACCAGCCGCCAACAATGGTGAGGACCCCCTCGCAAACGATACGTGGCAAGAACATGAATTCATAGGCCACCTCCTCCCAGTCCACAGGCACGGGGCTAGGGGCCATGGAAGAGGGGTTTGTTCAGTGTCCTGTACCACCGGCCACCCCATGCCGTTCATGGGCAATGATCAAGGGAGAGGGAAACCCATCAAAAGCCATATACTACAGCTATCATACAGAAGCACGGAGGAGAAAGCTTCTGCCTTTGCAGTGGACCCAAGGAGACTGATGGAGAGGCTCTGTGAACCAGAAACTGCCCTGAGCTAACATCAACCCTTTGGGAAACAGCTCCAGAAGGAGAGGACAAGTGACAGATTACTCCGTATTTTTCAGGGTCAGCAGTTTTTGTGATGTTTCTGAGGAGTGGTGAGAGTCTCTTGTGCTGCTCTTGGGAGAGGAACGGCCCCGTAGTGAAACCAGGGATCTTGGCTGCTTCCCTTACCAGAACAGAGCTGCTCAGCCAGATGCCAACATGCACACATAGCTGAGGACACCGGCTGCTTCTCCATGTCTGTCCACACATCATACCTCAGAAATGATTGATTCATTAACGAGACCAAACAAAAAACATTGCCTTTTATTCCCAGAGAAATAATTAATAAGACAGGAACATATCACTTCCCAGCTGGCGCTGACTTGCAGTGCTGTGAAAACGGGCCAGGATCGCATCTGGATTCCTCTCTGCCCCAGCAGAGCTTTGGCCTTGGGGAAGCCCCACATACAGCCAGTCGCACACTGATGCTTGGACTTGCGGGGCTGAAGAACGAGAACGGCTCAACAGGCGACAAGCACCAAGGACCTCCAAGGCAAAGCGAACTGCCTCCTGGCTACTTTTACACCCCAGGGATGTCTACGCTATGCAGTGCAATGCCACCTGCTAGAAACTGGAAGCAGCAGAGCACAGCATGAGGGTAATTAACCTCGGTAATGAGGCTGCGCCGGCAGGGCTGTGTCCTACCAGAGACCCAAGACTCCGTGCAGCACCCCACTGCGCTGCAGCATCCCCTGCCTTTGCCCTGTCCCCTTGTACCACTGACATGGGGGCAAAGCAGCCCTCCGACGGTCAGTACCCCTTGGGGCCAGCAGTGGGATGGCTCTCACACCCATCTGGCAGAAGATGATGTCTAATGGCGATGGGGACCATTGGGCAGGGTCCAGGGCAGAGCCAGCCCTCTTGGCCCTGCTCCCAGAACTGCTCCCTGCCAGGTTTAAAAGGTGCTAAACTATTTAAGCGGGGGGGAGGAGGGGAGGGCGGAAAAAGCTACAGAGCTTCCTTGCAGCTTGAAGACCCATTTCTGGAGTCAGATTACAAGCAGCTTTTGGGATGGAAGCAAAGATCCTTCCGGTGCCTCGCCCCCCCTTTCCGCTCCCCCCTTGCGCCTTCTCTTGCTGAGCCCTTGTGATGAAGGACATCAGCAAAGCACTCAAAGGACATCTGGTATTGTCCCTAATGATATGGACAATGAGAAGAAAACACAGCTTTTTCAACTTTCTTTTCATCCCTCTTGACTTAGTACTCTTCTGATCTTCACCGGCTCCCCTAATTGTTCTGCTCTCTCCGTTTCTATCTAGCTTGTCTTTCTCTTCTCCTCAATCCACCCCCACAGCATGTGGTATCGAGAGTTGCTTAACGACAAGGTCCTCCCCTGC